GGCCGTTACACCCACACCTTCTGGCGATATTAATAATAACATTTATTCCTGAATATATTATTAATTCTGTTGATGGAGCGTGCCTCGAAAGCATAATGCGATGGTTATTGGTTAAATCCCTTCACCCGCTGGTTATAATGCAATAACACAAGTCCTTCTATTGCTACTGTTGTTGCCATAACTCATTCTACTTCCGACTTCAGTGAACGAAAACGAAGAAATACTTGAAAAGTACAGAGAAATTTACTCAAGGATTGGAAAAATATGCACAGTAGTGGTTGGTAGGCATTCAGCAGTTTGCGATGCTGCTGAAGCTGAATCCTGTAGTTTGTGCCCTCCATAATCTCAGCCGCACTTCTCTTACAGCTGTCTGCGTACTCCTTCCTGTTTGCTTGGGCCAATAAGGCCATTTCATATATATCATTGCCGAAGTAAGCGTTCGCGTTTCTCCAATGTTTTCAGTCCTGCAGCTAACTTCAGTATGTAGTCTAGTAACCATCTTGTAGAATTAAAGTCGTTGCCATGTCGTTGGGCATGTCCTGGACCCCACTGCTAGCCACCGTCCGTAATTAGCGTACACCTTTTAGGGTGTTTGAACGTCTCAGAAGACTCATAGAAACCACGGGACAGAAATCTGTGCAAGCGAATCAAATGACGACAGGTTATTAACATTACTGTATTGGTTTAGCGAGAACATTCGTAGTCATATTCGTCCGCTACATAGTACCTGTTTCCCCCTTGGAAGATTACGTAGGCCCCTTCAGATTCGACTGCGTGTATATCTCCATGCGTCACTGTAGTTTTGTGCACAATATGCCGCGTAATTCACCGGAGAACCCAGCACACTAAGGGCTACGTCGTCCGTCTGTAATTGCAGGGATTAGAATGATGAAATTACGTAAAAATACGATTCCCTTCATTAGCCTTCCAGCCACATAGTTAGATGGAGCACTTCCTAATATCCTGAATGTCCAACTCTAGAGGAAAGCATCTATGTGAATGTTTCTTCAGGTGCATATGGCAACACTCAACTCTGTTGTTTGTCTTGTTAACCAGGCTAGCGATATCCTCTATGAGGATGCAGCCCATACTTACCAACCGTCCAAAGATTGGCGTCGACGCAGACTATCATGACTCAGTGAGCTAGTGGATAACGCTCCGGCGCTTGAAGCGATCGGTCCCGAGGTCTAGTGTTAGCAAGAACAAGACTGGTCACTGGAGGGGGAAGCACGTCCGGCTAACGAGCCGCAAATAGAACCAATCGCGCTTCTTGGATTCCGCCGCTAGCCACTATCCACCGTCGCCATTAAATACATCCTATCCGGCGATATGTTGAGAATTGATTCCCAGCGTTCCATTCCCTCTTCAGTTCCATGATAGACGCAAAAGGCAAGCAGAGGTCCACAGGCTCGTCAGTTACCGCAGGAAATGTTGGAACGCAAATGAATAACGAAAATTTCAGCACAGCCTCTTTTCGGTGATTTCATTCTCAAAGCTGTACAATCGCATTTTGATACACCCTTATAGTATGAGGACGTAATAGCCAAAAACAGTTTGCAAGCATTGCCACAAAAATAAAGTCATTAAAATAACGAAATTAAAGAACTACGACGGACAGTGAATACCGATCGAAATATGACTGGAGTCGCATAAATGATAGTAGATCTGAAGAAGAAGATTCGTGCTATAACGACATATTTGGAGACTGAATTATGATCAGAAAAGGCCTAAAAACAAAGAAGAATGACGAATTACCTAACAAAGTGAGCGGTGTCGAAAGACAAGGGGGGAGGATGATTTCAAAGATTGAAAATCAACACCAATAGAAGAGGGGTTGAAAAATCTACCTTCGCGTTCAAACCTCACGTTCCTGCACACGTATGATAGAAGCTTCGGCAGTGCAGAGAATATGAAGACACACAGCCTTTGGAAGGTTTCTTCTCACTTTTAAGGTGACTTTGGATTAGGTTCTTTGGTATGGAGCAGCCCGAATCGAAATCGGCATTCAGGGTAGGTTGTCAGGAGACCATTTACTCCGAATGTTACCATGACCTAGGTCTTCATATCACCATCACCACCACGTATTGAACTAATAATACCAGTCTGAAGAACCACGACTATCTCATGCACAGTCTCGACAGGGAAGAATAAAAATTTTATTATAGTTGTCAACTTATAAGTCAGAAAATGCTGAGTAAAACGACAATGGGAGATCTAGGTATCATACACGGCACAGTAAAGATGCACACCGGATAAAATAAAACCAGTATATTCGACCACCGCAACTCCAGATTTGTAATATCTCCTAGCTGCACTAGGAGAAAACGGCAGAGAACAATAAAAACTAACCAAAATTTTAAGTTTCTGGGTGTAAAACCCTTCAAACCACCTATTCCCAAATTGATTTGGGTGCCTATTTGAAATCGGTTGAGTAGCATTCACGTTATGTTCATCTTGGCGACTAGCAATGGAATCCAGGGTGTGCGTTTCGTCGCACCTTGGTGAGTGATGTCATTCCCAATAGGCCTGTAACTCAATATTCAAACACCAAGGGGTTAGTCACAGGCCATTGGGACGTAAGGATCACTTCTTGTGCGACGGGTACTGGGTTAGGGTTTCAGTAAGGCCGGCATCACCCTCCGGGGTGCAGGTACATTCCGCTGATGGGTCCGAAACAGGACTAAGCGCGATTCCTGCGTTCCGCTGCTGGTCATCAAGGTGACTGTAACACCACGAATATCCGGCTGTGTTGAGGTATCTGCACAGAAGCCCATTTGCCGACAGAGGCCCTGCAGTTCGACCCCGTACAATGACAGGAAATCGCGAGTATCAGTTGACGACATTCATGTTAAATAATCCAGTTATGGGACCACCTCATCAGTAATTCTGACCTTCGTTCTCAGACTACAGCTATCAGACCAGGGAGATTTTCACTCGGTTTAACTGATTGTTTCTTTTATAAAATGAGTTGTGCATAACATGGAAAGCAACTTTACATGAATTCAGGTTAATCAGCCTTCCGCATAGGGAAAGGAAAATGCTGCAAATGCCTAGAATGACGACCGGAAAGTCATGCGGTCTATATGATTCAATGGCTTAACTTCACCAAGTCAATCTGACAACAAATCCAGCGGAGAATGACCAGGTGGATATTGTGAATCAGCGACTGATACTGCCGCTAAATCATCACCATTACCATTATCTGCCCATGGTTCGTAGCGACGAACAGTATAGTCAAATGCATCAAATACATACAACTTGCTCATATGATCAATATTGCAGGATCATTAATGCCTTAGCTGTGTATGGCGTAAACGAGTCTCCAATTCTGTATGAGACGTTTGAAAGATCACGAGAAATGCTGGAGTAGGGTGTAGCGGCCAGAATCCAGTAATCTTGATCTGAACGCGGGATATTACTAGGCGGTGCCAACTAACGCGAATCTGATTAGTTCCTGCGTTCTACTGTATAGCTTCCGAACTTCCGCCAGTGATGCACAGTCAAAGGTTGGATAAAAGTATCAAAACACGGTTTGTAGCACTTCAATAGTAGATTCGTAACAAAATCTGTGGTACTGTCAAAGCGACAATAAGTTACGTCAAAATTACAAAAATACCTCAACAGTGCCGTTGGGTAACTACACAGTCCCAAACGTTCTCGGGTGCAAATACGTACTACACGGTAAAAACTGGTTAAACTAATACAACTGTTAGTACCTGAGAGTCAATAGGAGTATTCCCGACAAAAGGGATCAAAACTCTGCCTACAGGAATCAAATCAACAAACAAACGTTTCCAGTAGACAGTCAAAAGACAAACAGCCAAATCACAGTTCAACCGTAAGTTGAACCAAAACAAAATGTCGGGCACAGTAAAACAACACCACCTAACCAACAGTCCAGCGTCATATGGTAGGAAAGTGAAACGTTCATGATAGGTATCAATCATACAAAGGCGAATATTGACCGGAAAGTCAAAGAAGACAGTCAAACAAGCAAATAACATTACACCGACCAGGGTCAAAGGTACACCATCCATAACGAGGGTAAAAATGTGAAAATAAAGGTCAATACAATCAAATAAGGGTGATCGCGAGGGGTTTTCAGATCAATTTTTCGTTACAGTTGGTCCTAAACTAAGCGACTACAACGTCACTTCCGAGGCCGCCACCTCCGGGGAACTTTCAACCGCATGGGAGCCTGCGGCGCTCGCCTCGCTTTCACAACATCTATCGTTACGAACCACAGTGGATTCCTACAAAAGTGAGACTTTTTACCAATAGATGTATTAGTTCAAATATTTGGTATTAAGGTTAGATCCAAATGTCCATTGCTCCGCAATAGAATGATCGTCTGGTATCAGCATACTAGTCCTGGAGGACATGGTTCCGTTTCCTTACATCGCATCAGTGCACTTGACCACTTATCCAGTTGCTGATAAAACAGAATTTATCATGACAATAATTTATTTCGGATAATGGAATCACACGAACACATTTTTTACAAGCAGTGTCACTGTCTTCAGTGAGGTGGAGAAAACCCGAGAATAAATCAGCACGTCATATGGTCTCCCAGAGTAGGGAGCTTTCTGCACATAACTGCTCACATAACATTTTAAATCCCCCTGTTATGACACATCTACATCCACTGATAATTCTTCCGCGACGATGTCTGCATAATAACAACTACTTCACTTACCACTGAAACGTTGACGGCAGCAGCTTACTTGAAATGCTTCACCTACAGACGAATTTCTAACATGTTTGCACAAACATTTCGACATAATACATAATATAGCACAATCAAGTTTCTTATCAATATTAGATGTCAGGATTACCAACAGTTCATTTCACTATTGTAATGCATGTTTATCAACGAAAACAGCTAATGAGTAGAGGAAAAGTCAAAAATTACTCCTTTTTACAACTATTCTAGCAATTTAACGTTTTGCAACATCAGTTGAACAGAAAAACACCTATGACCTACGTCTTCGTACACCCAACCTTGTACGAGGCCTCTCCGTTTCTGAAGCGCGCCCAATTAGGTTGTTTGCGCTTGTTTTGTTTGCTTGAAGATGGTCTCAGTCGGCTTGATCACTGCTAGGTTATCGGATCTGCAGGATAATATTACGAAGTTGTCGCATGAACTAGAGGTCAAACGTAAAGAGAGTGATTCACAGAAAAACATTGTTAAAAAGGTATACTCCTCAGGATTCTCTTCTATATTTAGCTTGATGCAGAAATCAAAGACAAACATCGGTTTTTGGATAGTCTAGAACAGAAGAGTGAAAAACAGAAGGAGGCTATAAAGGCAAACTTTGAGCGCCTCTGCGAACTGCAGAAGTCTGCTACTGAGTGTCAAAAGTACTAATGTTTTAATATAAGTGTTAACTCCCAATAGAGCACACGAGTCTCTGGAAAAACGCTTAGAAAGTCAAGAAGAAGCTATCAGGTGTCTTGAAAATGAAGTTAGTGAAGCACAAAGTCAAGCAAAGGTCTCAGCTCAGATTTATGACGAGGTAAAAGGGAACATTTATGTTAAATGTATCCTAGGCACTCAAACAGCTTCAAGATAAGTTAGATATCGTAGAAAAGTGTGAAAAAGAAGAAGAATCTCTCCTGAAGTAATTCATATTAGCGTTGATCCATCTCTTCAGAACTATCAAGGAGCTGAAAGATGAGGCGAATACACATGGGAACAAACTTCGTCGTATGGATGTGCAACAACTTGAGGTTTGTCTTGCGTTTTTCATGCTATTTACATATTTTATCTGATTCTTGTGAAGGTTGTACATAATTAATGGTGTCTAAGTAATGAGCCGAGGAGTTGGGGAGGTGTCGTTCGTAATAACAAAGACAGTATGCTTTGGAGTGGCTCTCATGAACGAACCCCTACGCCTAAAATTCAGCTCAAGATTGGTTGTCCGGGGCTATATACCTGTGTTAAAACTCTGGTTCCTTATTTTGGAAGTAGTAGTATAGTCTTCAAGATGCACATATGATTAGTGCTCCATCGGAATAGTATCATTTCCGCAGCTTCTTGAACCTGATTAAGTAAAAATGTCGTTGGGCAGTTCACACTGCACTGCAGCTAAAAGGGGAAAGTGTGACGATATTTTCAAAAAGTCTTGATAAGCTGTGATAACGGTGTGCGTACGATCCTTGACAAATATGTATTCTCAGTCCCAGCAGTTTTTCCCAGGAGCCATTTTATGTTTCAGAAATGGAACTTACAAACTGGAACGCTTGATAAAGTAAGTACCGATCTGATAGCCTCTTTCTTCAATTTTTCCAGCAAGAAGCAAATACGACTTGCTGTCTCATGGTATGGGAGTGATTTGATATCACAGTGTACGCTTAACGTCGATTCGCTGTTTGTATGTTTTACCTTTCTGCTGGTTCTTGAAACAGTAACCTCCAGACTGGGATATACAAATCAACGTAGAACCTGGTACACAAGTGCATCGGTTCAAGTTGTCACACTTTAGAAGCATACTAAGGAGTTAATGAAAAAACTGATAATAAGGCACTCAATTATGTATAATGGAAAATAAACGGATAATGGTAAGCAGATTGCTCAAGATTTTCAAGATAACGGATGGTATTTAATTCTGCACCATTGTGACAGATTTTGAGCTGTTTCACCAAATCTCCTAACGGTGATCTCTGCCGTCTTGAGGACCGTAACCGGACAGTCTACACCTACACGCCTCAGACCAACAGTCAATGGCTTCATTAATTGGTGCCAAGTCGTGATCCGGCCACTAAGACTTATGTTACTGTCTAATGTTACATATCTAGGTAGGTGGTGGTTCGCTATATATACCTTTCATCTAAGTCATATCAGTCGATGAAAGTTCACAGCACTGATTGACTCGCCTTTTCGGATAAGTAATCTTCGCCTAACCTCGTCACTGCTCACATATTCCATCATAGTGCAGCAATGCTATAAAATATCTGTAGTTTGAACCTGAGACCTCTTCATATTTTCTGCTCCTTTCAGGCATGCCTCAGTTGTATAATACGACAGGAGGTTGCAGAGCAGTGTACTCGTCCTTTAATAGGTCAGATATTTCACCGACTTTAGAGATCGCGGAATTTGGCAAGTATCAAACAGGCCTTAGAGATCCGAGCTGAGATTTTGTCAACACGGCCTGTTCAGGCTGCCGTAACTCCCAAAGTGAAGTGGTCAACGTATTCCACTACTTCACTCAATCCTTAAACCCGGAGTATTTCCAAATCAATCCTAAAGTATCTTCCTACATTTCACAGGTGCGAAATGCATGCAAAACGTACTCTGATTTCTGTTTAGGTCGTTCATATGACTTTAGAGTTTTTCAGCATCACCTAACAGGACAATATTGTCTTGATAATCCGAGTCAAGCAGATAACTTCCAGGGAGTAGATCAATCTGTGTGAAGTCAAACGCATCCTAGGTTGTGTCCATCACTGCATCCATTACGAAGTTAAGTAGCACTGCTGACATTCAAGTTCCTTGGCAGAGACCACTGGATGTAATTTCTTATGAGCCATAATGCAGCTGCGTCAGTTTGAGTAGAAGTTCAGTTGGCACCACATACTTGCTCAGTACTCCTTTTATAGTCAGATACTTCTAAAAAGCCTCTTGGTTGATAAAGTTCTATGCCACGTTTAGGTCAGGAAATATAGAAAAGAAAATATGCGTGTTCGAGGACCTGTTGAAAGTTAGGGATCTGATCGATGAAGGTCTGAAACCTAGCTGGTTTTCTTGAGTTTGTTATTCTAGTGCTTCATTGAAGCGGAACATTGTGTGTTACAGTTCAACTGACCTTCAGCTAGACTTGTTTCACTTGCTGTCAAGTCAAATCCTGAACGGAACAAAGATAGGCCCTCAAGCACTTGCAGAATTTGGAAACGCTGTAGGTAACTTGAAGCAGGAAAGTCAAACAGAGCCAGATAAGCTAGTATTGAAGGTGTTTAAGGAATTAATCGAAAACTATTGGTAGGATAAACTGAATTTATCAACTATCGCATGAGAATCAGATATGACCCCGTTTTACTCGTCTCAATCACTAATTATTCCAGTCTTCCAGAAAGAGAAGAAATACTCTTCTGATAACCACTGAGGAATCAGCTTGATGAAAATTCCGTCTGTGATTCTATAGTTTTCAGATTTCTACGTGAAACTCGAGAACGGCGAATCTGAGAAAACCAGGCAGGCGTCAAATCTAGCCATGGGTGTATCGACCAGATATCCGTCCTCCAGGTTCTGGAACACGCTTACCGATGCCCGACATTTGGTGTAATTCTGTGCCATTGTGAGGCCGATTTTCTTTCTAACTCTTAGTATAGGAAAACATATGTAATGAGCAACTGGTCATCTATAAAAAAACACCTCATTACTGTCATACTGTGAGCTATTTTCACTATGGCGGTAACTGCAGCTTGTCTTATCTCAATCCACCTGACATTTCTGGTATGCTAGGGCTTCAAGGAACGAGCGTTTCAGCCATCGTGGCTCATTACATTATTATGATATGGAAGCCTGACCACCGCACTAGGGTATTAGCTTTCAGGGGAGCATTGGGGCAGATATCAACTCCGTCAATGAACACGTTGGAAGGTAAACTAGACCTTCGTATATTTACTTTATGGGAAAACACATTAAATGATCTTTTAAAATCTAAAGACCATGGTGAAGGTTTGGAGTTTTGGCTCATTTATATACATACGGCTTTAAACCAATGAGGCTTGCTTCATCTACCAAGGTCTGAGCAGCTGGGTGGTATTACAACTTATCTGGCTGACAACCTAGTACACAAACCTATACCGGATTGAGGTACATTATTATCTAAGCTCTCACATGAGGTTCAGCTCCTTGCTCACTGTACGAATTTGCCCGTGGTCGCTGATCTGCATTTCGTATGTTATTTCTTTTGTAGAAGTGTTTCTCATTGACTGAAGCATTCGATTTTCAATCAATGGGTCTTAATTAAAAACACACGCATCAACTTTTATCTGTGTAACTGGGTAATTTCACAAACATTCATATGACTCAGCTTTGTACAAAAACTTATACAGGCTTAAGGTGCATTATATTTACATGCATTAGTGTAATTAAAAGCAGTTTCCAGGTCTTAAGAATGGATTTAAAAATGGCAGGACTGTATGTTAAAGTTTGAAACTAAAGGTCTTAAGAAATTTTATTTTGTTCAGTTTTCTTATCAGGCGCTTTTCGTGTTTCACCAACTGAATTTGAGAAGGCTGTTTCGAACCTGAAACAATGCAAAGCATCTGGACCTGATGGTCTGCTATCAGATGTTTTAACGATGAAGCTAGGAAGTTGCTGATTGGAGTAGCGGAGGTATTGCTTAGTGTATGAGAACCAGAGGTAGTCTCATCAGGTTTCATCGGTCACTCTTAACTAGGAAGAGAAAGGTCTTGCGACAACTATAGGGGAATCAGTTTAACTAACATTGTGTCCGAAATCCTAGAATTCATAGTTATCCGACGTCTAACTAGAGCCCGATAGCAACAAACTGTAGGAAACTAGGTAGGTTCAAGACCTGGACCAGGGTGAATCGATCAAACCTTCACCCCTCGTTTGGTTCTAGGACACAGGCATAATTACCGGTGGCCGACACCTCCCATGTTTCTTAACCTGAAGGTGACATTTAACTCAGTCGACTATGAAATGTTGTGGCAGTGTCTGATTGTGAAGGGAATACCGAACAATTGTGGAACGCCAATCAAAGCCCTTCACTCGACCTCATGTAGCCATACATGGGCTTATGGAGAGTTGTCATCTGAATTGCAGTAAGGACTAGTGCTGTCCAGCTTGGATGCCCATTCCTTTTCAGTTTTATTATTGATGCATTAATGGACATAACCTTAGGTACATCTGATTATACAGAGATTGATTTGCTCACTGAAGAGCGTATGACCAACTTGGAGTGCGCAGATGATATTGTCCTGTTAGATGAAGACGCCGAAAAAATGCACACTTCTAAACGCTGAACATAAATCTGACTATATTTGGCATACATTTCGCACCTGTGAGATGTAGGAGGATACTCCAGGACCGGTCTGCAGCTACTCCTAGTGTAATGGTAAGGAGTGAAGTGATGAAGTGTGTCGACCACTTCACTTACTTGGGGAGTTGCATCAACTCGAACATGGTGATTGCTGACGAAATTTCATTTCGGATACAGAAGGCCCGTTTGGCATTTGCCAACTTGCATCGTCTATAGCTTTGACTAATTAGATACTCGGATATTTATTAAAGCACGAGTTTACTATGTTGTAGTTCGTTCTGTCCTATTATACCGCTATGAAACATAGCCGTTAAAAGTAGCAGACATGAAGCGGTCACAGGGTTTCAATTGTAGCTGTCTTCGTAGCATTGCTCTCGTTTGTTGGAATCACTACATGAGCAATGTTGAGGTCAGGCGAATGGTTTTAGGCAAGACAGGAAAGTTGATTGATGAAGTTGTTAACCTTCATCTCGTGAAATGTCTTGAACATGTATGATGCATGGCAAGCCACCGCCTATCTCGACGTACCATTTTAGGGGAAGTTGGATTAGGTTGGAAGGGGGTTTAGGGTGACCTAACTAAGACGTAGCACCATCCGATGAATTCCTTAACTGTTGATCTGAGCCGTTCCGGGAGATGTAAAATACCTAGCTAGGGTCCACAAGATAATAGTAATCAGTGGTTGAAGACTTGGTGAAACGGCAGAAAATCAGTAACAATGGCGCAGATGTATTCCTTCTTTGCTGTCTAAAACTTTGGTATTTTCATTATGCCTAATTTTTAAATTTCTTCCCTCCATCCATCTTTGTCTACTTGGATATCAGCCCTTCCTGTCCACTTATTCTTTGTGTACTACTGTAAAGTATGGCAACTTGAACGGATGTACTTGTGTGCAAAGTTGGGGTTATACATCAAGTCAAAGTTGCATTTGTTTGTCGTTGCTACATTTCTTCTACTGTCTTATATACTTTTGTATGCTGTTGTTTTATTTTTTTGACAGGGAGATAAACGCATCGAAAGGCTTGAAAATTTCATTAAAGATTTATCGGAACAAATTGTATCGGTATGTTTTCTTCAGGATCATCAGTTACTAAGTGTTTTGATCTTTTGGCTTCGAATAAAAATCTAACCTAAAGCATTTCACGACTGTCTAAATTTATCTTTGTAATGATTTTTCCCCACTGAATTTAAATAGCAGAGTTCTAGGATTTAGTTCAATTTGTAGGTGTGTGGGGATTTGTTGACTTCATAGCAGTATTCATCATGAACTGACATAATTTGGAGGACCACTGATAACCTAGGAGCACTGAACAAATGTTCCATCCCAGTGTGGAAATCCTAAGCAATGTGCATCGATAACTTCGCCAGAAATTTATTGTGCTATTTCTAATTCAGTGGATTTAATCGGAAAGCTAGGAAAAATAGTGATGTGAAAATATGTAATTTGAACTTAACTCGATCATTTTGATCTGTCGTTCGTTTGGCTATTTATTGACTGTTTTTCCGACCTGTATTTGATTCTGCTGATATTTGGCGTTGTTATAAACAAGGATTGGGCAATTTCCAGTCACTGTAATGCGTTAGCGTTCAGAAACTCACCCACTTGATTTCATTGACCCTCTATTGTTCATATAGTGGTTTCATCACACATCAACAGTGGTATGAAGTGGTAGATAATTAAATACCTTAGATCATCTTAATGCCTTTGTCCTTATTGACTATTTCACAAACATGGATTTAGAAGGGGTGTACTACTGCACGACAAATGTGACTCTTAATAGGCAGTTACATATCGCACTTCCACTACTAGTTCTCTTTCTGTGCTGTTTTGAAATGTGTCAACCTAAATTACTACACTTGTATGGGCTTCTACTTTAGAACATCGTGCTTTTTTAGTCAAGCACCTTTTTCTGTGGTTATAAAAAGATTTTCCCATTCGTGAAGACTTAAGCAATCAGTGATTGCAATGATTCAGTATGATCGTATGTCACTATGGTCTCCAGCCAAGTTATTAGTCAGGATAAGTAATAATCTCGTGCCACCATACTTGAATATTTCAGTTGATAGCGCTTTAAGATCTACCGTTTTCCTTCGTTCCAGTTTATGTATAATCTCTCAAATTTCAGCTGAATTTGGAGGTTTTATTTCTATGTCATTCAGACAAGCTGGTTAATGGAAAACTTAAAACCAAAAGGCTGTTCTTTCCGTAGTGTGGGCAGCGGGGAAGTGTCAGCTGCCCACACGCTTCTAGCAGTTAACAAGACCCAATCAAACATAACCTATCCTCCTCCATTCTGTTTCCTCCTTTTCCTTCGCCTCCTGATATTGATATTAGGCCTCTTACGTCTTACCTAGCCTCTCATTTTGCAACCACTGTCAACTATCAAAGCCATCGATACCTCATTCTTAGTCTCCTAAGAATCCGCTCTTGATTTCATGTACGAGCTTTCATCATTCGAACTCTATGCCAAATCGGACAACAAGGATCACTCCCCAGAACTCTGGGATCCCTATCCATGGATGGTATGATGTGTTTATGATACACATATACATGATCTGGGTGTGGTTATTAAATTGACTACGCTTGACCATAGTCGTGAATTTCCAAAATTCACCTAACGGGTATCCGGAGACCCAATGGCTGGCTCTCGTGAACTCGTTGGTGTAGGCATAGCATTGAGTTGTAGAGTAGAAAGTGCGCTTCTCGAATGGATACCAGTCAACAGCCGTCTATGTAGTTTTCGACTGAATGGATTTGAAGAAACTAGGAAGGATCGCTAGACTAACCGTTGTCTATTCGTATTCTCCACCTTCACACCCACTGACTGTAGTTGGAATGACGCAAAGGATGAATTCTATGAGAATCTGTCAATTTTACTACAGAAAGCAAAACTTTCAGATGCAATCATAATGATATGTAACTTTAACGCTCAAGTAGGAGGGCTAAGCCAATTGGAAAGGCATCTTGGCGGCATTTACGGAGTCCTATGCCAACTAACCGACAACGGTTATCGTCTGCTGCAGTTTCGCTCCGACAGTCGCTTGTGTCTGACCAGCACTAACTTTAGGCATAAGAAGAGACGCTGCCTCACATGGCATCCGCCGACGTTGAACCAACGATGGACACAAGTCACATTCTTATAAACCATCTTTGTAGAGGATCGGTGGAGGATTGCTACACTTTCTGGCGTGGCACTTTGAACTCCAATGACGCGCTTGTAAGGGCTCATGTATGTCTGCACCTTACTAATTGCAGGAAACAGGCGATAGTAAACCCAGTCTATGGTCGATTAAAAGATGAGAACATGAAGTTCGAATTTAGCGAGGAGACGGCTAAGCATTTATCTGAACATGACAGCAATGCTCATGCCAAAGAAACCTGGCGTGATAATAAATCTGTTGTAGAAATAGCGGCGAAGGCAATCGGTAACGTACACTCAAAAGTTAGGAAACCTCATTGGATCTTCATGACGTCATCCGAAAGATTGATGCATGAAGACTGATTCCAATTGACTGTGACCATGATGAAGAGCGAAATAAACTCAAACGTATGTTGACCGAGAGTCTTCGCTTCGACCGCGAACAGCGGTGGGTGGCGAAAGCAAGAGAGATGGAGAAGGCATCAGCAGTGGGTAACACTCGGCAACTGTTTAGACATATTAGGATATCGGTAATAAGAAGACGATGGTATGTGAAACCGTCACCAAAAAGGATGGGACGCTGATAACCTCCCACAACAGGCGGTTAGAATGTTTTGCAGAACACTTTGAAGCACAGTACATCTGGTCCACAGCAACGCATTAATTGTCAAACATCCAGCCTGAACCTGAATGGGACGTAGATATTGGTCCTCCAACTCTCTTTAAAGTTGAGGAAGATGTGTGGAACTTGGATCAATGCAAAGCAGCAGTACCTGGCAGTTTGCAACCTGGCATTTTCAAGGACGGAGGTACTAGGTAGTGTGTGAGAATCAGAGGTAGTGGCATCAGACTGGTGTACTTCACTGATCATCCCAGTTTATATGAAGGGGGAGAAATCTTGTGACACACATGGGGGAATTCATTTGACTAACATTATGTTGAAGATTGTAGGATCTATGGTTATCCGACGCCTAACTGGAGCTCGAGAAAACTGAGCAGGTTTCAGGCAGATTTAGACTAGGGTGTATGGATCAGATTCTCACCCTTTGGCAGCTGGAACACAGGCATACCTACTGGCCAACGGTCGACAGTCGTCATTTTTCTCTATCTGAAGGCGGCATTTGACTCAGCCAACTGTGAGGTGCTTTGACAGTGTCCGGCTGTGAAGCGAGTACGGAGCAAGTATATAACGCTGATAAAAGCTCTCTTCTCCAACTTATGCAACCGTGTCAGGGCTTATGAAGAGTTATGTGAATTGACGACAACTACTGATGTCCAGCTGGGATACCCATTATCACTATTCTTATTTAACTTCCTTTTAGACGTTGTCTAAATAAGCTTAGGTATCTGTGACTTCACAGGGATTGACCTACTCCGTGGAGGTAATCTGGTTGACTTAGACTATTCAGATGGTATGGTTTTATTAGGTCAAGACACTGGCACAACATAGGACCTTGTGAATGCTTTGAGCAGAAACCTGAGTATGTTTAGCATGCGTTTCACTGGCATCTGTCAAATGTAAGGTGATGCTTCAGGACTGATAAAGAGTGAAGTGGTGGAATGTGTCGACCACTTCACTTACTTGGGAAGTTGCATCAGCCCGAACGGGTTAGTTACTAACGAAATCTTAGATTGTGTACAGAATGTCCGTTTGACATTTGCCAACTCGGGTTACCTATGCGCAAGAAGTGAGCAGCGATGAAAGCCAATCGTCTGTTTTTTTGATTGATTAGTACAAATGCCGAACTATTTTCTCATTCTCCCTTTCTCTATTTGAGTACTTTATATTTCTTTTGACTGAATTTTCTTTTCTTCATCTTTCACTTCCACTGCCTTTTTACTTGATGTGGTGATATGAGCTGTGGCAACTCGGAGCGTTGTGCAGTAATACCTGGTTATATGTTAAATTAGATGGATGGATAGACAGATGCCGGAGTATGCCATCGCGCTTAGCTTTTCACCTTTTATTCAGTTTAGATGATTGGATTAGTCCTGTTAGGTGAAGACGCTGACAAGATGCAGAGTCTTCTGAACACTTTCAGTGGCAATTTGAGAATGTTTGGGATGCGATTTTCACCACCCAAATGCAAATTCTTGCTCCAGTACTGGTCTTCAGCGGTACCGCGGCTAACAGTAGGGAGTGAAGTGGTTGAGTGTGTCGACCACTTCACTTACCTGAGAAGTAGGATCAACCCCGGTGGGTTAGTTGCCGATGAGATTTCTGCACGGATACAAAAAGCTCGATTGACTTTTGCCAATTTGCGCCACCTATGGCGCCGCCGTGATATTCATTTGTCTATTAAGGGTCGCGTGTACTGCACAGCAGTCCACTCTGTTCTACTGTATAGCTGTGAAACATGACCATTGAAAGTGGAAGACATGAGAAGGCTTCAAGTTTTTGACCACCACTGCCTTCGTAATATAGGACGTATTCCGTGGTGTCACCCTGTGAGTTATGCTGAAGTCAGGTGTAGAGTTTTGGGGAGAAGAGGTAAGTCAGTTGACGAGGTTATAAACCTTCATCGATTGAGATGGTTGGCTCTGACACGTACTACGTATGCCTAGTCACCGATTGCCTCGTCACACAATGTTGGCTGAGGTGAGTCCAGGCTGGGAAAAGGCTCGAGGTGGCCAGACTAAAACATGGTACCAATGTTTGAAGTCTCTAACTGTTGGTTTAAGCCATGTGTGATGATACAGACTAGGTGGTTGGGGTCCACGGGACAAGAGGAACCAGTGGTTGGAGACCCTAGGTGATGGCATGGCTCAGAACCGAAGTCAGTGTCGCAGGTGTATGCCCACACACATTATCCTCATCTTAACAAGGCTATACCGAATCTCACTATTTTGTCACTGCTCTTTCCTTTCTTCTCGTACTTTATATTTCTTTTGACTGCATTCACTTATCTTCATCCTTCACCTCACTACCTTTTTACTTGATGTGCTGATATGAGGTGTGGCAACTCTGACCGTTACTCAGTAATGCCTGGTTCTATGTTGATAATGATGATGATGATGATGATGAGATGATTGGATAGTAATTGTGTCCTTTTTTTTAAAGGCAGCATAGTTCCACAAGCCGAAATAAAAGGTGTGTATTGTTGTGGTAATTTTGTTGTTTTTTCTATCCTCATCATAGACAGTTAAGAGATATACTTTCAGGTCATTTTGTAATATTGTATAAATTGATTTTCAGGCCACTCAACGAGCTGTTGAAGCAGAAAGAGAATCTGAAAGACTAGGAACTGAATTAACATTTCTTGAAGGTCAGTTAACTTTGTCCTAGGAAATCAGTTTTATTATTCTGATGTTTTATGCTTACAATATGCTGATTTTTAATGTAATGCAAGCTGACATTAAACTTTTCAAGTGTAGAGAGGTGTGATTGACTATTTCACCCATGACACTAAAACTTAACAATGTGCGTTTATCGTTCAAACTGCAACCCTGCCTACTTTAATCTGCACAATTGAGTTGTCTTATAATCCCTCCTACATTGTACTGCTCACAGCCTATTACATCAACCGACTGATTGTTGTTGAGTTGCACTATTTTATTGTGACCGTACTCTGCCTATCATTCAGTAGGTATCAACATAGGGAATAACCATTGATGTATGACAGTTCAAATTGTCTTATATATACATGCACACCCTGACACATAGACGTAGCGAAACGAGGTATATAAGTTTTTCTAAATATCATCCTCTTCAAGTATACTTTTGCATGCGGTTCAGGTGTCCACAGTTATCTGAAGCAAAATTTATTCACATGATGTGTACTGCTATCATCCAATGGATACTGAGGCATAAGCATCTACTAGTTAGAAAGTTTACTGTCTACTTTCTTATTCAGTTCTATTTTCTCAGTGTACAAGAGAAATTGTTATTAGAAGTGGGTAAAAATGATGGAAAAAAAGAAAGATATAGAAGTTGGTTTGCTTGTTGATCAAGAAGAGTTTACGTATTCATTAATGTGTATGAGAAAAACAAAGCTTTGCCATTCGAGAACACTTATCCCCTGACATTTCATTGGTGAAAATATATAGGAGAAAGCAGTGTCAAACTGGTCATCCACTTGGTTTCCAAGAAAATTTAACGGTGACCAAGCATTAGATGTACTCAAGAATTTTCTGTCCATATCAATGAATAAAACTTTCTTATTAGCAAGATTTCAGTTAGTTTTAACCAACCGTAAACTATTCTCCGTTTGAGTGAAAGATAATCTTCGTTATCTGGTCATTTCCATGTGCATCTACCAGTTCATGTGGTCTTGTTGAGCAAGATGCATCAGCCGTAACCAGAGAATGCTTTCCACATGTATACGAGAACATGTTTCGGCTTGGTTTTATAAAGGTGAAAGAAAGTCTGTTGAAAGTTCTATTCTAGGACATTTGATTGGTTTCCACCACTCAGCAAAACCAAACAATGACTTCAAAACTGTTTATCGAATTCGTGTAAATCTCCCACGTTTTCTTCGTTTTCAACTCTTTAAAACAGTAGTGGGCTTAGCTATCCATTAAGTAACACCTGATCTATGTGTACGAAAGAAGTATGGAAAATCACTATTTTAACCATGCCCATGACATTCTCCCATCCCCGCTAGTTACCTCTCCATTGTTAAGTGAATCTTTGTGTCCTTCACCTAACACTATTATTGTTAGTATACTTACCTCTTTTTGGTTGGTCTTCTAATGTGGTTTGAGCTACATCAATCTTAAGTGGTCTCATTACTCTTTGTCGTGATCTCTGATATATTCTTTATGTATAATAGGATGCTCCGTTTATTGATTTCTGTGAGTGACTTTGTAGTTGATGATACAGGGGATAGGCATCTTGTAGCAAAGTTTCATGGGCAGCCTTTCTTCGTTTCTTTGTAAAGTTGTATAGCAGTGCGCTCTCACTTTTTTGAATAAAGTTTATACGCAACTAATTTTGCGCGTTGTTAATTTGTTGCTACTCTAGTTGAGGATTTGATCAGTATGTGTTGGCTTCCTGTACATTTAGGTTCCCGATTTTCCTGTGATGCTTTCACTGACTAGAATATCCACCCAGCCAGACAGTTTCCATTCAAACCATATTATGCAAACCAAAGGACGCAACAGCCAAACAGGATAAACCAAATATCATCTACAAAATCAACTTCAATAACTGTAGTCAACACTATATTGGACAAAGTGGTCGCCCTCTTCGCCTACATGAGCTACTAAACATCACGATATTTCATCACTCGTCGCACAGTGCACTTGGATAACAACTATGGACATGAATTCAATCTTAACAATGTGGAAATCTTAGTCGCAGAGAGGAAACAAAGAATATCGGAGGATTCTTAGAAGCTTGGTATTCATCATGGACTGGCATCAGTTGGAGGAACATTGAAAACCTGGGAACACTGGACAGCTGTTTCATTCTAGTATGGGACTCCTCAGCAGTGCACCCCATTGTGCCGCCAGGGATGGAGGCTAACCTGGTGGCCGTAAGGACAGATACTCAATGGTGTTATTGGGTGATGGTCACGCTCTGTTGTGGGCTGATAAAAGTTGGAAATATGGACCATTTGATTCTGACCCATTGACTCTATGGTAATGTTACTGGCCAAGGAACCTGAAGATCATGGGTTCGAGCCCTGGTGGGGTTATGAGTACGCACTGGTGAGGAGTCCCATACTAGTGGGGTGGAACAGCTGTCCAGTACTCCTAGATTTCCAATGTTCCTCCAAATGATGTCGATTCATGCTAAATACCAACTTGGAAAATTATTAAATCCCCCACAAACCTTCAAATTAAATTTCCAGTCAGCAATCAGTAGATGTATACACATGGACCCAGTCTATCAACCAATAAGAAAAAGGATGAACAACAGGAAGGTCAGAAGTTAAGCATAGGAATGGCCAACAGGAAAGTGTATACAGTCAGTCAATGATACAACAATCAAAGGAAATAACCAATCACAAATCAGCTCGTCAGGTCAAGATACTGAGAGAAATTGACAGTTGGATAATATCGTCTAAAAGGATGATGAAAGTCTCATGATTAAACAACAACCCAGCTTAGAGAACACCACTGAAATGATTCATCTGAGCTACAAATATTCTCCACCATTCTATATGTTACATAATCTACTTTATACTTCAACTGTTATCATAATCACTAGTACCTATGTCATCATCAAACATTATGAATATACATGAAAATAGTCTCTTTTCTGAATATCTTGTTGTTAATGTTACTTTTATTGTTGTTGTTGTTGTTTTCCTTTTAGAAGAAGCGAATGAATGGCATGAAAAATCTATGAATATTCAAGAACAAATTGATATGGTGAAGAGTACAGTCAACGAAACATGATTATGTAATCTGTTGATTTATGTAGGTAGAGTTGATGAATAACTTTCTCACTGTGTTAACACTTTTTGTTTTCTGCCTTTAAGTTCGAGTTAATTTTGAAGCGTATAATTTCGCAGTATATATATATATATATATATATATATATATATATATATATCACACTAGTTTATCATCTTATTGTGTTTATCCTTCTTTGTCTTTCTGTTGATCTAATTTTATTTCGCTTACCGATGGATATGTGTACTTTCAGTTAAGTGAACATGTGTGTAGACATTCCTTTAAAAAAAGCAAATAATCACTTCAAGACATTTATTGTATTGGTTACTTCCTTAGCCCAAGTTATAATATAGCTAGGCATTACGTCGTTATTATTAGATAATCTCCGGTCTTGTTTTTTTTTTTCTGCTTTTCTTCAAGTAATAGATGAAGTTAAACATACTGCATATGCTGTTTACAGTCATTCCTATAAAAACTATAATCATTCATATGTGTATGTATATGAGTATTTATTTTGCTATAAGTTTATATACATGACACTGTTGTCCATCGCCTTTCGCTTTACATTCGCCTTACGTTTTGCATTCTTATCTTTTGAAAATATGTTTACAGTTATGGTGAATTTTATTGCACAAAAGAAATCTTGTATGCTTACTCTTATGTAATAGTAGTGATTACTTATAGGCTTTATTCATTGGGATGTGGTTCACGTAAATACACCTATGAATCATTGGAAAAATATACCTGGTAATTGTGTTTTCTCAATTTATCTTAAATTCAATTTAAAGGTTTGTGGACTGACATGAAAAGCCATTGGAAGCCTTTTATACGGTTTATCAGCAGTAAGCAGCCATGACTCCACTAGAGATCTAACGCGCTATCTTCCTATTGAGCGACTCGGTCGAAATCCAGTGATCCATATTGCCTACTTTTGTCAGTTTATGGTGTAGCGCTACCTCTATCCAACACTGTCATTGAGTATCTCTCCTGGTATACGATTTAATTGGCCCACCGGTCACGAGATCTCATTAAAACTACAGGAATCACCTCTCAAAGTGAGTTGTGTCGGTATTGCTGCCATAATATAAGGAGTTCATGGAAAAGTAAGTCTAACATGTTGCTCAAACCTTCGTTGGAGTTGTGTTCACACCTGTGACCGAGTCATTGACTGAAAGTCAACTCCTTTGACCAGTGGTGTTGACTCTTTGGGTATTGTCACTGAGACAATAGGAACCGGTGGTTGAGGACTGTTGGTGACATGACTAGAAATCCATCACTATGGCGCAGATGTTTTCATTCCTTGATGTCTTCTGTGGCTTGAATATTTGCACTAGCTGTTATCTTCGGATTGCTTGCTCTCTCATGTAATTTTGTCTATTTTGATATCGCTCTTTTCCATCCGCTTATTTTTTGTCTTCTACTGTGAAGTGTGGCAACTTGGAGCGATGTAGTTGTGTCCAAGGTTCTACTATCTACTCTGTGATATGAGCTGAATATGTGAGTTTACGACTATGCAAAGAATAACAGTAGAGATTGGAGAAGAATTACGTAAATGAGTGGTAATTACCGATGTGATGTATTTATTGTAATCTCAGCTAGACATGTCGACAAGATCAAGCTGTCGTACAAGCGTAAATCACTTGATTGAACTCGTCAAATACGTCTCGAAGACTCAATATAATTTGCAGTAGCTAAAATCGATTCCCGCCATAGAAGTATTCGACAAGTTGATTTTCTGTCAACTATTGATTTTATTGACTACAATTAGGCATAAAATTGTTTTACTTTGTGACTGTAAGTTCCAAATCAATTAAAAAACTTTAATGTTAAAATAATCTTCAGGCGTATAAAGTGTCTATTTACTAAGCGGATTGTTGCAGAACCCTTCCCGGTTTTGTCGTCAAAAGTAACTGCATGGACCGTAGACGAAACCTCGGTAGGATACGGAGAAGTTCATTGTATATGTATGTGCTTTCCTCAGTTTGTACTAGTAAAAAGGAAAATAGCTTATGCTCAGTAACTAGATGTGGATCATTTGTTACCTTGGAATTGATACGTTGCTCAACGTCTATGCTTAAGATGTTGCCACTCAACAGGCACTTCCTTAGAATTCATTCAGTAGGATAGGAAATTTTGTCTAGGAAATATAAGAATAACTTGCCTGTGTCTAAGCAAGTTCATGAACTAACTACAGATTGGTGGTTTTGTAAGTGTCGATTGACTCCAATGACTGAGGCTTGCGTCACACATGTCTAGTCACCATCTACTCTTAGATGCTGGCTGAAGTAGTAGGTTTATCCTAGAAAAAGGTTACAAATCGCCAAACCGAAACATGACATCATCTTATGAAGTCTCTGTTCGCTTGATCTGTGTAATGAAATGAATAATTTCTTGTCGGAGTCTAAGTGAAAACTGAAATCGATCGTTGGTAACTCTTAGCAATATGGCAAAAAATCGATGTCAATCACGTAGACACATCCACATATTATCTTCATCTTAGTCATTATACCGGGTTTCGTAATTATCTTATCTCTTCCTCCTCTCATTTTACGATTTCCTAGTACTTCTGATTACTTGCTACCTCATTCGTCTATTTTCCTCTGGTAACTTGATTGCTATCCGGTTCAACTAGGTTCGATGTTGATATTGACTAACTGAAGTCACATGAGAAGTTTGTATGAAGTCAGCCAAGTATCATGATAGTTCAGTTGTGTTGGCTAAAGTCTGTGTAGTCTCTGTAAACATGAAGTATCTCAGTTCCAGTAAGTTATTAATATTGTTATTTGTCCCTTGGGTTCCTAATGGAGCTTAGGGTTTCAGTAGCACGTCTCCAGTGAACTCTGAAGTCTTTTGAACCTGGTTCCACGATAGCCCACAAGCTCTCATTTCCTCCTCGCACGATCTGCATGTCACCCTCGGACGCCCAACTCTTCGCCTCCCATGGGGATTCCACTCGAGTACCTGGCAAGACGTGTGATGTCCCCAGTCGGCTTTCTCAGTGTATGCCCAATCCATCTCCACTTCCTTCTGTAGGTTAGTTAGTGATAATAATAATAATAATAATAATAATAATAATAATAATAATCAGTTTCACGCTATCTGACTAGCGAACAAATTTCCCGACCTTTCGTGTGACACTAACCATTAAGGTTAGCGATTGGAAATTCACGAGGCAATGCGTGAATGATAGTTTATGTTGCTACTCATGTCTCGGAAACTGAAATTGTACCTGAATATAAGGATTGTGTTAGATATGCAAAACATGACTTCCTATGATGCTAGATTGACTGTCATTTTTCTTAGCATTGTATAATTTATTAGTTTCTAGCTATTATCCGAGCTTTAATTTTCGTTGTTGGACGATTCATCAGCGTTTACTTTAGTGTGATAGTTGTAGAGATAATTATTTGTCAGACATTAGAGTATATTTTCAGTTGTTCATGTTAGAATTCGTTTCATACTGTATAACAGAAGGAGGCTGGAAATGCGTACTCCATTTATCACAATATACTATCGATTGAAAGTGACTTGTTCAGATGAGTCAGTTTCCTGAGTACTTTTTATAAAATCGGAGTTTCCAAAGACGAATTTCTTCTTTTCCAATGATATGTGCCGCTTATACTAGGGTTGTAGATTTTATCACAGCGTCATGTGCTCCGAAGATACTGACGTTGCCTATAATCACAAAGTTTCGTTGTAACGGGGGTCTTAAATGTAGGTGTCATCTATGTTTCCATGTGTATCGGCGAATTTCCGATGAATAAACAGTTTCAGTAGTCATTTATGCAAAATGCGGTTACTTCTTACTGCATATTGTCTAAAGTACAAATTAAACCTTCATTGTATCCGTCCAGCGAAATACGCTACCGTCGGGAGAGTTACTGGACCAGTGGCAGATAATAAGTCGGTTAATCGGTGTATTCAGTATTTTCAGTCACGTTCGTTTACCGATAGACTGAGTAGATAGGAAATGATGAAGCAATATTGTCTGCAGTGATCAACTGGATTACCTCATTTCACACAGAGTGTATGTATAGAAAACAGTTGTTAGAAGTTTCATTTCTCATCTGAGACTGTTAACAGAATACTGAGAAGTTCAGGCGTTCATCTCTCATTCTGTTCCCCAATAAGCTATGCGACTAGTCATCTCTCACACTGTTTCGAGATTATTTGCATAAATCTCAAATACAAATTTGACTGGTAGTCCATTAGAACCAGGAAGGTTTTTGTTACATGTGAAGAAGGTAACGTGTTATGTATTTCTCAGGACTGATAAATATTCACCTTAATAGTTTTTCAGGAACGACAAAATATGGTCAACTAATTGGAAGGTTTGTAATCCTAATCTTCATACGGCTTTGTGTGCTAACCAATATGTTAACTAAGCATTCCTCAGTAGACCACCATTTGGAAGAGGAGTGTTGCAATCACTGTGAAGGCATCACTCAGGTAGAACACAGCCAAGAATTCATTGATTTTTGGAATATCGTCAAACGGAACCAAAACTATCACCGGCAGACTCAGATACTCTGAAATCACAAGAAATTAACGTCTATGGGAGAAGTTGAAACAACTTTGATAAGTGCTATACTCGCGCACCATGTCGGCACTAGGTGTTCGACAACAACCTCTTTCAAAGTCTATTACAAAGAGAAAAAGCTTGCCAAGGTGACTGCACATTCCCGTCCGTTATATTATTGGTTCCTTAGGAATTCCGGTAAAAAAATTAGAGCTTTTCATTCAGAAAAGAAGCTCATCCAATCCGTGCCCCTTTCATGGTCTTAATCGTTAGCGTTTCAAAACGTTCTCCCCCTTATTACTTTGATTCTGTTCATTTCTTACATATTACCAACTATTCCTTATTTATACTGGTTGATGATTGACAGTTAAATGGAAATTTGGATTCAAACCAGCGACTATCGGGTTTCTGACTTGATGAACTAAAAATCTTGTCAACAGTCGGACCTCGTAGCTCAGTTAGTAAAGATCGGAGCGGAAACACCGGCGGTCACTGGTTCGAATCC